TAAATAAACATTTTCAAATACCACCACTGCCTAGTGTGTTAAAAATGAAAACTATCACAACACTAAGTTGGGGTGGGGAGAGGGTGGGGGTAATGGATTAAAGTATTCTTACGTCCCTCAGCAGGCATGCTATAATTTCCGGGATGACTTACAAAAAATTAGAAACCAAACATGCAATTTCCAAAGTAGAAGAAAAATAATTTAAATTTATACGTGTATTTTTATACCAACCTAAAAGAAAAAAAAGATAGTCTGGGCAAACGGAAAGCACATAAAAAATATTTAAACCTAAACATCATAATAATGTTCAATGTAAATCAACTAAAACTCCCATTAAAAACTGTCAGGGAGGATTTAAGAAAATCCAACTACATCGCATTTATAAGAAACACATCTATAACATAGGATATAGAGTTGCCAAGTAAAATATAATCCTAACCAAAAGGAAGCTGGTATCACTGCATTAACATCAAGAAAAATAAACTTCAAGGAATAGCATTACTAGAAATGAAAAGGTCACTCTAACAAAAGATTGAATGAATTCACTACCCAATATATGTAGTATTTGGAAGATCTCAATTGAAAGACATAGCTCATGATATCGTGACTGAAGGCAAATCTTAACCTGAGAACTTGTACACAAAGAAAATCTTCCACTGAACAAAGAGGGAAAACAAGTGAGTGAATTAGACCACTGATTATTTTGTGGTCTTGTAGTAGCTAGACGTCCAGAGACGTGTTATCAAATAACTTCTCACCATTCCAGAAAACTGGATTCTGAATTAAGTCCTCTTTACTTTCAGTAAGAGAGCTAACCTTTATGAAGCCTACTCTGTAAGGATTACAGGCTTCCCTTTACCTGCAGGTAGAATACTAAGCAACTTGCTCAGCAACAAATGTGACTCCCGAAACCCGTGCCCAGTCCACTATTCCAAAAACCAAAGTGCCTGCTCTATCAAAGCCTACGTTACATAGATTATACAGTAATATACTAGTTGTTATTCCTTTACAGAAAATGACTACTTCATGTGGAAACAGCCAATCACTAAAGATTACAAATGTCTGAAAGCAAGAGTTGAAGGGAACTGGTAATATCCCAAAGATAAGATTTCCCTTTACCTGAGACCTCACATCTCCCTCCAAATACACTTTAAACAAATCTATATTTAAGACACTGTTGTCCTATTAATACTATTTTTAGTGGTCCAGAGGCTCAATAACTTTATTTGACTCCAACACAATCTTATAGTTTGAGTACCATATTCTTTAGGCTCAGTTTTTCAATTCCGGGAGGTCAACAGCCGACTTAGAACGGACTTGTCTTTGAGACCCAAGCAAAAAGGACTTCTATTTGAGAACACCGCATACCTTCTGTCCAAGGAAGCTCATTATCTAGAGTATCATCTGATCGAACAGCAGAGAAACATACCTGGGCTGGACTAAAAACTTGCTAAAAATTCACCCAGCATTAATGAAACCAATTTATTTACATGGTGGGGGGAAATACACACACACACACACACACACACACACACACACACACACACACACACACACGGCAGACAAAAAGCTTAGGAGCCATCACTTTACTATATGAAAACAAATTTCATGTTGGATGACTCCATGACCATAAATACTGTAGCTTTTCTACTGGAGCAGAGTGGAACTTCAGCAAGTGTGCTTTATGAATTCCAAGCTGATATATAGCTAACAGTTTAAATCAAGGGAACCCACTTTAAAAACCAATACAAAAGCCTCATAAGTCATCACTGCTCGGTTATGTAACCTTGGATAAGATCTTTGACTGCTCTGTACTTCAGTTTCCACATTAAAATGTTGATACTACCTACCTCTAGGATCATTAAATTAGTTAATAATACACAGAGTAATTTGTGCCGTTACATTATTTATCCCTGTTGTGTTCTTCTGTACCCTCTTTACCTTAGAAAATTAAACGTAATAGGTAATTAAATGTAATTAATAAGCTCTTCAAAATTACAGCCCCCTTCCCCAATAAAAGTCAAAATGTACAAAATTTCTGAACAAGTAAAAATGTATCAAAGTGTGTAGCAGTAAAAGTGCAGTGTTGGTAACCAAAAGTACAGGGACCACTTTCTATGGCAAGTGCAATAATGTGATCTAGTGGTCTCATATCAATGTACTAAATAACTTACAAGGATGGGCAAAAGCAACAACGTTCACCTTCTAACCCCTACTCTGCCCAACAAGGAGAACTTATTCAGATGAAATTGGTATGAAATGGCGTTTAATATTACTATTAAACAGGTCTTCCATAAAAAGAATGTTATAAATACCGTCCCCCACTTTTTCTTTGTAGCCTTCATCACAATTCAACATTGTATATCTATGACTCTTTTTCTCATGTGTTAAGATATTATGTCCACATAGATGCTAAAATATTTACTCTAGGAATCAAATAAAAACAATTACAGCTTTGATCAGACTTGAGAATCTGAATAGACTGATCATCAGTTTTCAAAACTGATCAGGATTCATCCTAATCTTATTTTCATTAACATTTCAAATTTATAACCAAAAAATGAGCAAAGTCTTAGTTCATTTTGACTTCTTCATACCTTAAAGTCAAATAGATTTTGCCTCTTTTAGCCCCTTTTCCTACAAAAGATCTGTTTTTTACATTTTTTTAATGTTTATTTTTGAGGGGGGGGGGGGAGACAGCGTGCGAGCAGGGGAGGCGCAGAGAGATGGAGACACAGAATCCGAAGCAGGCTGCAGGCTCTGAGCTGTCAGTACAGAGCCCAACGCAGGGCTTGAACTCATGAACCACGAGATCATGAGACCTGAGCCAAAGTCAGACAATTAACCGACTGAGCCACCCAGGTGCGCCCCAAAGGGCTGTTTTTAATGTAATCTGGGGAGTTGAGAATCCAATCAGTTACCTGGACACAATAATGAGCAATAGCATTTTGGGTTAAATTAATTCCGGACAAGTGTTGGGTTTGAGTTGTTTTTTTAATCTCTAGAGAACAAGAACAGTCATGTGCCACATTTAGCATTAGCTTAATATTGTCAATAAGTCCAATATCAAAAATAAGTATTTTGCAACAGATAAAATTACACATTTTTCAAACTGATAGGAATTTAAAATTACATTTATCAAATTAACACAATGTTGACCTGATATGATAATCCATAAAGTCAAGCTTTCATAACAAATGTTTAGTTCCATCTATCCTCCAAAGGACCAGTCGTACTAGAAGTAAATTGCCCATTTTAATTTTGACCATTAATTTGAACTCTTAATTTTTAAAAAATTGTTATGAATTTGAACAACTTCAAACAAGCATGAGACTTAGTCCCAGATGGTAACTGGAAAGCTTATTTACCTCCCAATAGTTTGAAACAAGTTACTCTATAGGTAAGGTTTCCCCCCTTATCCAAAGGTACAATGTTACTACTTCCTAAGTAAAATAAGTACAAGAGTGTTAATGTAACCTGACAAGAGAACAGGACTTAAATATTAGTCTTAAAAGGTATTTTGATGCTAACTATTTTCAAAAAACAGCAAATTTTGTTTTGTAGCTCTTCTGAAACCAGGCAAAGTGTTACGAGCTTTTAAAGTGCAGTCATTACAGAACCAGTTACTAATCATTTATCAGGCAGTGAGGATCTAAACTAGGGGCTTCTTGAGCCGGATTCATTCTTTATGTGCTCTGAAAGCCTAGACCTCCCAGACAGACCGCATTCCCCGCCTCCTTTCACTGCCTCCATTTATGGGAAGTTGAGGCATAGACAAGACAGCAAGCTACTAACTTGGCCCATTTAAGTTTACATTAATGCCTCCTTTCCACCCCATACTTCCTCCACCTCCCCATACACCTTAAAAACAACACAGCTAGATAAGTAACCTATTTTGGGAACTTCAATAAAGGAACTAATTTGTAAGAATGCAAAAGAAGTCCTAACAGAATTAAGAAGAGTGCAGGCCAAATCGTTTATTTCCATCTTAGAACCGTTTACAGGATTAGATTAATTAGGATAAATTCTCCCCTAATATGAAACCGTGGTCAAGACACCCATCCAAATTCTAAGTGTACTGGAGGTACACACACACAAAATTTTTGATAATAACAGCTACCATGAACCCTCTACATGCGTTAATTCTTTAAGATCCTAGCAGTGGAGGCCCTACTTCATCATCCATCACCTACCACACCAATAAAAAGATAAAGACCAAAGATCAGCAGGTAGAAGTTTGAAAGCCAAGGGCTGCCGGACTTATTTACTCACTATTAGTTCCCACATCCCACCACCTCCCGACAGCTCTCCGGAAAGTTAAGGACAAGCCACCCGGGGGTCTCCAATCGAGCCCAGGCGGCGGCCACGTGTCGAGGGAAGCCGCCCGGGGTTTCCCCTCCCAGCACAGTCGCCGCCTCCAGTGGGCGGAGAGCCCAGCAGCCTCGCAGCCTCCCCGCCCCCTCCGGGCCTCGTCCCTTCACATCCCCTCCCTCCCATCGGAATTCGCAGCCTCCGCCGTTCTTTCCATCCCCCAGCGGCCTCCCTCCGGGGATTATTTTTGAGGAAGCGGGGGAGTCGAGGAGGCGGTGGGCTCAGCACTCGAACCCGGCCGGCCCGCCGGCCGTCGCCCGGCCCCCAGCGGCACGGCCGCCGCTCAGAGCGCCTGAGCGAGACCGCGGCCTCGCTCCCGTCCGCGCGCAGAAGCCGGTGGGGCTCAGGGGGCCGCGGCGCAGCCCAGCGCTGCCCTCGGGCTTCCCAGGCCGCACCGACCCCCGCGCCTCCCCGGCCGCCCCCGAGCGTAGCGCCGGCCGCTCCGGAGGCCCTCGCGGGCTACGGGCTACCAAACTCTGCGGACCGCTCGGGCTCCGGCCTCACGGGACGACCCGGGAGGCCCCAGAGGCCAGCGGCCCCCCGCTGTCGGCTCCGCGTCCCTCCCCTCCGCGCAGGCCGCCGGACCACTTCTGCGCCCCCCCTTTCCCTTTCAGGCCCCCATCCGTTACCGGTGGTTAGCACGGGGAGCCAGGCGGCCGGAGCTGCGCAGGCAGTGACTCAGGGCGGCGGCGGGAGGAGCAGGAGGCGGCGCCGCGAGCAGATGGCGCTAAAAAAGACCCGAGAGCCCGCCGCTCGCGCTCATATACAATTAGCGTCAGCACGTAGGGCCCGCTCCGCCGCCCCCCCAGGCCTCGCCGTCTCTTAGCAACGCGGGCGGGAGGCGGGCCCAGGACGGGTTGCCTAGCAACAGATCTGTCCTTCTTCCCCGACGACCTCCGCACCCTCCGCGGCTCGCTCGGGGTCCCCGGCTGCCCGCCTCCGCCCCCTGCCGCGCGCCGCGCCCTCTCTCTTCTCCCCGCCGCGCTGGGAGAGAACCCGCAACGCCTTCGGCTGCTGGGAAGGGCCGTGACCCGCACGCTAGCCCCTGGCGCGCCTCGCTTTCCTCGGCCCGTTGCAGGGCCAGCTGCCGCCCGCCCGCCCCTGGCCCGGCCTGATCCTCGCACCTCCCCGGTCCCCGGCAACCATTTTCTCTCCCCGCTCTCTTTTTTTTTTTTTTTTTTTTTTTTTTTTTTTTCCCCCTCTAAGAACAAGAGTTCTTTCCTCCTGACCCCCTTGGCGGCGTCTTCTGCCCGTTTTGCTTCTCCTAAGTCGGCGGGTCTCAGTGGCTTCCGAGGCTGCCTCCTCATCCCTACCCCTCCATCCTTTTCCCTAACGTGCGGCGCGTTAGGTAGCTCGTTCTTGCGACGGATGAAAATGGCATTATTTGTTTACTGTCCGTGTCCGTATGCTTTATAATGAGGACACTGTTGTTTCATCTTGCTGAAAAAAGTAAATTTGATGTAAATCCTCAGGCCTGTGAAACATCATGGCTGTTTTTCAATTGGTGCTGGATTGACTAACGTTAACTCTTAAACCAGTGGTTCTCAAAAGTGTGCTCCCCAGACCCTTTCGAGGGGGGAAGTCAAAAGTATTTCCATAATCGAAAACGTTATTTTCCTTTTGCGTTCTCATTCTCTCATAAGTGTCCAGTGGAGTTTTCCAGAAAGTACATGACATGTGACATGGAAACATTGAAAAAGGAAGCAGATAATAAAATCCAGTCACCTGCAGTTAAATCAGACATTAAGGAGGTTTGCAAAAAAACGAAAACAATGCCCCTCCATTTTTTTGTTTTGTAACGTAGTTACTTTATATATAAAATGTTCTTTCATGTTAATATTTAACTGGTTTATTGTTTTTAGATGAAATAATGAATACTTTCAAAGTTTCTTAATTTCTGATATGATAAATATCAGTATCTAGGATGCACAGAATAGTTATTTGGGGTCCCCAGGTTTTAGCCTATAAAGGGGTCATGAGATCAAAAAGTTTGGGAACCTCTAAATGCTTCATTCCTTTACATTTCAAACTGCCTGGAGTCATCTATTGTAATGTTTACGTTTAGCAACTGTGTCTATTCCATTTTAGAGGGTACAGTTTTTCTTCTTGGCATCCCCAGCCTCATTAAAATTACTTGCCTTTCTCACTCTGTGCTACACATGCCTCGGTTTACCCTTTCATTTTGGTTCTTCATATGCGATCCTTTTTGTTTTTTCTCGATCTTCTTTCTTCATAAAGATCCTATTCAACAATGATGTAAGGTTAACAAATATTATAATAATATCAGTAATGACTCCTCATGAAGAATCCACAATACATAAACTAGGTAGACCAGGGCCCAATATGTACATATACTTGGCTCTAATTTCAATGGAAGCCTCAAGAGCATTGCATTCCAATCGAAGCTATGCACGATGCAAGGTAATTAGCTTATTGAAAATGAACTAGATAACTTTCACCTCCGTTCCTTAAATCTTTGTGGTGGTAGAACTTCTGAGAGCAAATTGAGAAGTTAGCTGGTTTTCCATCCTGCTCCAGGAAGCCCCACCAATTTCTGTCACTGGTCTAAGGCTCCTAATTTCTGATGCTTCACTTCTCACCCCACTTTATATTCTTTCCCCTTTTCTCCAGCCACCTCCTCCAGCTCTTCCTCCAGCTTTTTCCTTCCCTTCTTCCAGTGTATCTTAGCCTAAGAAATGAAACACTATTATATTGCTAATAATGCATGCCTTTTAACATGATCTTTTGAACCCTAGTTTGTAAATCTAAAACTCTACCATTTAAGTCAAGAGAAGGTCAATCATTTATACATTCATTCAACAAATATGTTAGAAACAACTTGAGACTGGAAATACAGCATTGCAGAAGAAAGACAAGGTTCGTGGTTTTACTGAACTTATGTTGGAGTGAGGTAGGGCAAGTAACAGACAAGATATGAAATAATTTTTGATATAAGTAAGTAAAAGAGCTATGAAGAAAATAAAATGAGACAAAGGGGTAGAAGGTGACTGACTTGTAGATACCGTTGAACTTTTCACATTGACTCCTCTTAGACTCCCAAAACACGTAATGCATTTAACTCATCTAATTTAATTACAATAAATGGTGGCCCTGGTCACTGATCTTGAACCACGCTAAATCTTTCATTTAAAGTTCCTTGTTATGGGGTGCCTGGGTGGCTCAGTTGGTTGAGCATCTGACTTTGGATTGGGTCATGGTCTTGCAGTCTGTGAGTTCGAGCCCCGCTTCCGGCTCTGTGCTGACAGCTCAGAACCTGGAGCTTGCTTCAGGTTGTGTGCTCCCTCTCTCTCTGCCCCTCCCCCACTCATGCTCTGTCTCTCTCTGTCAAAAATAAAAAAACATTTAAAAAAATAATAAAGTTCCTTTTTGCTTTATCCCCCATTATTCTCATTTGGTAGATTTTTACATCATTGTAGCCCAGTGGTTTAGAAGAAGTGCGGCTTTGGAGTCAAATAGCCCAATTTTCATCTAGATTTTGTTGTGAAAGTTTAAACAACATGTAAGTTGCTTAACATGATATTTGACAGAGTTAACACTCAATAAAAGTTAACCATCATAAACTTCTTACTGAGCTTTTGTTTTTATTTTATTTAAAGGTTGAGAGAACTCCCCTGAAGCTCCCTCTAATAATATCTGACACTATTTCTGTGAAATATTTTATCAAAAGCTATCTTGTCACAAATCTTAAAACATGTTTTCCTGAACTGAAATAATCCACACGAATTACCACAAAAGTACTATACTCCACATTTTAAAATACTGGATACAGACACTATAGAAATCAACCTGAAAAACCGATGACAGAGATAATTTCTTAAATGTGCTTATGTCTGTATTTCAACCCCTAAATAATGGAAAAGTGCACAGGCTTGAAGGACAGGCATAGGTTCAACCCAACATTCTGTGACCTTGCAAAAGTATTTACACTCTCTGACCCCTAGGCTTCTCCATCTGTAAAATGCATTAATAATTCTATTTTTTTTTAATTTTTTTTCAACGTTTATTTTTATTTTTTGGGGGACAGAGAGAGACAGAGCATGAACGGGGGAGGGGCAGAGAGAGAGGGAGACACAGAATCGGAAACAGGCTCCAGGCTCTGAGCCATCAGCCCAGAGCCTGACGCGGGGCTCGAACTCACGGACCGCGAGATTGTGACCTGGCTGAAGTCGGACGCTTAACCGACTGCGCCACCCAGGCGCCCCAATAATTCTATTTTTTAAGTTTATTTATTTTTGAGAGAGAGAGAGAGAGAGAGAGAGAGAGAGAGAGAGAACAAGCAGAGGAAGGGCAGAGACAGAGGCAGAGAATCCCAAATAGGCTCTGCACCTCCCTGCATCCAGGGCCCGATGCAGGGCTAGAACTCACAAACTGTGAGATCATGACCTGAGCTGAAATCAATAGTCAGATGCTTAACCGACTAAGCCATCCAGACACCCTATAAAGTGCAATAATAATTCTAATAAAATCAGGGGCATCTGGGTGGCTCAGTCAGTTAAGCGTCTAACGTTGGCTCAGGTCATGATCTCACGGTCCATGATTTCAAGCCCCACATCAGGCTCTGTGCTGCCAGCTCAGAGCCTGGAGCCTGCTTCAGATTCTGTGTGTCTCTCTCTTTCTGCACCTCCCCTGCTCATGCTTTGTCTTTCTCTCTCTCTCTCTCTCAAAAATAAATATTTAAAATAATAATAATAATTCTAACAAAATCAGCCTCTTCATTAGCATGAGATAGAGAAATATATGTAAGTCCCCAGAGCAACAACTTGTACTTTAACTCAATGAACATTTATTGTCACCAATTTTTCAGTATGTAAAGTGTCTAATGGCACCAATAATAATTAGCATGTAAAAACTGCACAAGATATATATAAATAACTTATTTTAGTTTTGAATCTGGGTCGTTTTTCTTTTTCATTTTTTCCCCCCAAATTATTCTGTAAATGCAACATAAAATCGATCAAAATTCCAGTGGAGAATTTTGGACAAGTTGTCTTAAATTTTTCTATCTCCTTCCAAAAAAAGATGAATAAATTTTCATTTGAAAATATATTTTGCTATCATTTCTTTTTTTTTTTTTAATTTTTTTTCAACGTTTATTTATTTTTGGGACAGAGAGAGACAGAGCATGAACAGGGGAGGGGCAGAGAGAGAGGGAGACACAGAATCGGAAGCAGGCTCCAGGCTCTGAGCCATCAGCACAGAGCCCGACGCAGGGCTCGAACTCACGGACCGCGAGATGGTGACCTGAGCTGAAGTCGGACGCTTAACCGACCGAGCCACCCAGGCGCCCCGTATTTTGCTATCATTTCTAATTGAAGATTGTATAAAAATGACTGTAAATTCACATGCAATTGTACAAAATAACACAGAAAGATTTATGTAAATTTCATCCCGTTTAACACAATGGTAACAATAATTCACAATCTTACTCAGATTTCCCCAGTTTCACCTGGATCCACTTGTGTGTGTTTCTGTCCTTAGCTCTATACAGTGTTACAGTGTGTAAGTATGTGTATCTATTATCACAGGCAAAATACAGAATAGCTCAGTCACCACAAACATGGATCTCTTATGTTGCCCTTTGATGATAGTTTTTTTCCTAATTTATGTGACAAATATGGTTCTACCTTCCCAGATTTTACTTTTTTCCCCCACCTGCTTCACAAATAGACAAAATAGGCAGAAAATAGGCCATTCCTTTGTGTGGGTCTTCAATAGTTTTTACCTTAACTATTTGCAATAGCTT